TGATTTACGTTTCGCAGTTCTAACTGCTTTTTTGTATATTTTCAAATCAGACTTATAGGCTTCCCAGTCCTCTGTTGTTCTCGTGGCTTTGGCCTTATTGAACATTGTCCTATTGGATTCACGTAACGAGGATAATTGTTTTGACCACCAAGGTGGTTTGTTTTTCCCCCTGTATCTAACAACCGGGCATCCGCTGACAAAGAACTATTCATGGCTTTAGTGACCTGATTAGCCAACCCGTCCAATTCCATCCGCGTGGCGGGGTCCCGGGGAGGTATCTTTGGCAATAAAGTCCTCAGTTTTTTATTGTAAACCTTCCAGTCGGTATTACGCACATTTCTGAACTCCCTAACTTGGGGGGTCTTAAGATCTATTTCGAATTGAATATAACAATGGTCAGAGTAAGACTTTTCACTAAGTACTCTCCATCTCTTGATTCAGTCAGGGTTATGTCCAAAACTTCCCCTCTACTCTTTACGCTCTAAGCCTAAATTCAAGACACTAAGTTTATTTCCTAGAATGAAGTCTAGTAACGACTCACCTCTAGCGTTCGTGTCCGTACTCCCCCACATCGAATTGTGAGCATTAGCGTCGCAGGAGACAACCAGTTGTTTTTTCTTATAGGCTGCTTCCTTGACTAACGTCCGAACCTCCTCTGGTGGTGCGTCCTTGTCATGGGCCATGTAGGCAGAGGCTACCCAGAAGCTGGTTTTATCCAGTTCTATGCTTGCCGCTACCAAATCGCCGTCACTGAGCTGTGGAAGCAGGAAGATGTTTAAGTTGTTCCTTGCTAATATGCAAGCTCGAGTCTTACCTGCATTTTGTGCGGCAATTAGCTCAAAGCCCTTCACTCCAAGCCCGCAGATTTTGTTGCCGAGTATCCACGGCTCCCGGATGAGGGCAATATCAAGTCCACCGGCAGCCAGGCGGACCTCAAGATTCGCGGACGCGAGTTTAGAATGGTGGAGGTTGATCTGGATTAGCTTCATAAGAATCCGTCCGTTTTACCTCCACCATTGTGACATCTACGTCCGCCTCCTCGATCTCCTCACCCTCGGTGTCATCGGCGAGGAGATCCTCTTCATAAAACAGCGGCCCCAAACCGGTTAGCCTCTCTGAGTCGGATGAGCATTGGCTGCTGGGCAACCCTTCTTCACCACCGCTGCGCATGCCGGACTTATCACTCTCCTCATTAAGGTCCAAGCCCGGTTCGTCGCTGCGGTAGATTCGAACGGTTGCGTCAACAAACCCGAATCTGACTTCCCAATCCTGCTGCGCCAATGGGGCGAGCGATTCGGCGTTGAGGATCAGCAACACCTGCCTTCTGTTTCCTATCGGCTCTTCGATCTTCCCCACCTTCCAATTGTGTGTTGGCAGGTCCTTATTGCAGGATCTAAAGATCCGCTCTATTTATTCAGGCTCGGCTGGTTTAGCCGGAATCCAAACCCGAGCCCTAGGTCTGCTAGGAATCTCTTCCTTGCTGACCTCCTCTAGTTTGGCTCCCGGCCAAACCTCACCTACCTTGCTAACGGCCAACCTGTAGAGCTGGGCTGACCTATGGTCCTCGCAAGCGATGAGCTTTGCCCTACCTTGATACTAACCGGAATCATGGCAGAGAGGAGGAGGTCCAGGGTTTTTCTCTAAGACCTGGAGGTAGATTTCGGCAATAGCCTCCTCCACCTGCCTCCATTTCTCCTTCGGGATGGTCCCCTCCTCCTCCCCTCTGTCAATGATGGCCAGTACCTCACCGCCTCCCTTAACAACGTCCCTGAAGGAGGGGTATTTATGGCCACCTGTTCTCTGTCTTTTGGCGACCCTATCCCCTGCCTGTTCAGCAGATCGTTGCCTCTTTGGAGCAGAGCCTGCCGGTTTGCCCAAGCTGGCTACCACTCCCCTCGCCCAGTCCAATGACTTGATTTCTTCCTCCGTCAGCTGTTCTGTCGGCAGGTCCCCTATCCTATTAACGACCCTAATGGCCGCCTTTCTCTCGTAGTAGGCCTGCTTAGAGGGGCGGACATGTTTAGCCGGCCCCCCTGACCTGTGGCTGCAACCTTCTTTGAGCTGCTGGGTATATCAGCAGCATCCTGCCGGTTTATCCTTGAAGCAGGTGCCGCACCCCGCCCCTGGGTTGAGGTGTGTACGTTTTGGGGTCTAAATTCCCTAGGCGGAGCTGACGTCGCAGCTCCAGCCGAGAAACGGTTACAGACCGGTTTTCCCAGACCTCTACTCCCCCCCCCCCCCCC